TGCCTGCCTCTGCCTCCCAAGTGCTGGGATTAAAGCTGTGCGCCACCACCGCCCAGCTTTTTTTTGGAAACCAGTCTCTTAAGGCACATAAAAAAACAAGTTTCACTAAAAATGGAAGTCAGATCATGCAAAAATAGTTGGATGGATAGATACTGTAGATTCAAGTTCCAGCTTTACTTTTTTTTTTTTTCATGTAGACTCCCTATGAACCCAGGCCAGTCTAAAACTTGTGATCTAAGTACTAGGATTACAGGTGTGCCTATCTTACCTAGCCCCATCTCTGTTTTCTTAAGAGCCACTACTGATCCTAATTAAGTCATGGATTCTCTGTGCCTGATTCTTTATAACACAAATTCTCATGTGGTGGAAACTGAGGGGATCGGTTTACAACTTGGTGATCTGGGTCTAGACTCAGTTGTCATTCTACTCTGCTATGAGAGCTCTGATACACCCCAGAGGCAGTTCTGTCTTTAAAAGAGGAGACTAAATTAGCAATTCTTGAAATCCAGTCCTAAACAGGTACCAGGCATGACAAGACAGTATGTATAAAGTTATCAACTGTGCTTAATATGAGATTGCCTTTCCTATTTTTTGAGGTTGAAATTTTCTTTTATTATAGTATGATAACATAGTAGTTGTTGTTTTTAATGTGTGACAGCATCAAACATGGCTTCCATTTCTAGAATTACAGGCATGAGAGACCACACACAGGTACTGGGGGACAACCAGTCTAGACTTCATAATAAGTTCTAAACCAACCTGAGCAAGAGAGTGAGAAACTGTCTCAAAATATCAAAAAACAAAGTGCTGCTTGCCTATAATCTCAGCTCAATGGAGATGGAGACAAGAGAATCAGGAATTCAACGTCATCCTCAACTCCACAGTGAATTCAAAGCAGCTTAGGCTATGAGATCTTGTATCAAAAACAAAACAAAACAGTTACTGATTTCTATCTTTGAGTTTCTATTGTTGTGATAAAACACCATGACCAAAAAGCAACTTGGGGAGGAAAGAGTTTAACCTGTAGTCCACCATTTGAGGAAGTCACCAGGATCCCAAGGCAGGAATCTGGAGACAGGAACTGTATTAAGCAAAGGCTACCAAGGAACACTACTTACTGGCTTGCTTTCCATGGCTTGTTCAGCCTGATGTCTTATGCCATGCAGGACAACTGGCCAAGGATGGCATAGCTGTAGTGGGCTAGACCTCTTATATCAGTCATTAATCAAGAAAATGCACTGTGCACAGGCTTGCCCATAGGCCAATCTAGTGGAGAGATTTTCACAACTGATGTTCCCTCTTCTCAAATGACTGTCTTAAGTAGTCAAACACTAGCTAGTACAGAATCTGAAAGTAAAACATGCTTAGGGCTTTTACTTAACAGTAATTTTTAGTGTGTAGTCTAAATAGCCACATATATCATATTGGAATCAAAATATGCCTGTTTTAAGAAGCAATACAGAGCTGGAGAGATGGCTTAGCAGTTAAGAGCACTGACTGCCCTTCCAAAGGTCCTGAGTTCAATTCCCAGCAACCGCAAGGTGGCTCACAACTATCTATAATGGGATCTGATGCCCTCTTCTGGTGTGTCTGAAGACAGCTACAATGTACTCATATAAATAAATAAATCTTTAAAATAAAAAAAAAAGGCAATACAAATCAGGTGGTGGTGGCACACACCTTTAATCCCAGCACTCTGGAAGCAGAGGCAGGAGGATCTCTGTGAGGTGGAGAACAGCCTGGTCCACACAGCTAGTTCTAGTACAGCCAAGGGTGCACAAAGAAACTCTTGTCTCAAAAAAAAAAAACAAAAAAAACAAAACCAAACAAACAAAAGCAATACAAATTTACCATAATGATACAACAGAGGTGTTTCTGAATACAAAGGTTGGTAGCAGCTAATGTTTACTGGGTAACATTAACATTAGTTGCCAGTCCTAGGCAATTTATAGGAGTTAAGTTATTTAATCCTAATGGCTCATAAAATGAGCTATTGACATTGTCCCTTTATAACTAGCAAACCTGAGACACAGCAAGTTTAGAAAGTCCCAAGATCACAAATTACTGCTTGATGGGGCTAAGACTGCTTTTACTTTTTTCTCCTACATGCCTATTTCTTTTCTAATGATAGAGAACAAAAAGGGTATGGATCTGGGTGGGTGGGAAGGATCTGGGAAGAGTTGGGGGAAGGGAACTGTAATCAATATATTCTATGAAAAAAATCTATTTTCAATAAGAAAGTTGTTTAATCGTAAAAATTAAATAAAACAGGTCAAGATACCTGACTCTAAAGTTCTTTTTTTAAAAAAACTAATTTTGCTTATAAAATTTAGATTTTTACTAAAACTAGAAACATTTGCTACAAATCCTTTTGCTAACAGAACATAAAGAGCTTTTATTGCTTAGGTCAAACATAAATATGAAGTGCAGTCCTTGTCCTCAAAGACCTTTTAATGTGGCATTGCAACACTAAACTGACACTAAGTAAGTCAGTGGTAGAGGTTGGTCTTTCTTTCTTTCTTTCTTTCTTTCTTTCTTTCTTTCTTTCTTTCTTTCTTTCTTTCTTGTTTTTTTTTTGGTTTTGTTTTTTTTTTTTTTTTTTGGTTTTTCAAGACAGGGTTTCTCTGTGTAGTTCTGGCTGTCCTGGAACTCACTCTGTAGACCAGGCTGGCCTCGAACTCAGAAAACCGCCTGCCTCTGCCTCCCAAGTGCTGGGATTCAAGGTATGCGCCACCACGGCCCAGCTTTTCTTTTCTTTTTTTTTCTTTTTTTGGTCATTTTCTTTCTTTTGCCACTCTCCACACCTTTTGGGGTACTGGGAATCTAGGGTCTACCACTGTGCTGTATCCCAGCTCTCTCTTATTATCTTGTGTGTGAGAAGGTACATAGGAAGGGCTTATATGGCCTTAAAGGAAAAATGAGAAAAGGAGTTAAAAGCGAACAGCATTCACAACTTGTTTTGCACAGCCATTTACTCTCAGATAATGATGTTTATTTAAAAAGAAAACACAACAGAATAACAACAGCTGAATTTCACTCCAATAGATACACTATCAAAACAATTTCAGATGTAATTTGCAAATTAGTTTTAGCCAACAATGCATTCCAGTTCATTTTTCCATTGGCCTAATTCTTGAACAGACTGTAAAGTTTTTAATATTTTACTTTTTTTTTTTATTTTGGTTTTTCGATACAGGATTTCTCTGTGTAGCCCTGGCTGTCCTCGAACTCAGAAATCCACCTGCCTCTGCCTCCCAAGTGCTAGGATTAAAGACATGCGCCACCACTGACCAGCTTTTACTTTCAATTTTAACAGTTGCAATATCAAAAGTCTTAACAGCAGCAAAACACAGAGAAATGACAATAGGTATAATTGCTTTTCAGGTATGTTAAAGAAACCACATTACTAGTGAAAATACCTGACATGTATTTGACCAAACTTAACACCAAAAGTAGTAGACGTTTAGATAAATCTCACATTCTTTTTTTTTTTTTTTGGTTCTTCGAGACAGGGTTTCTCTGTGTAGCCCTGGCTGTCCTGGAACTCACTCTGTAGACCAGGCTGGCCTCGAACTCAGAAATCTGCCTGTCTCTGCCTCCCAAGTGCTGGGATTAAAGGCATGCGCCACCACTGCCCGGCTAAATCTCACATTCTTCCAGGACATTTTCCATCTGTCTGCTCTATAACAGCAAAATAAATGAAACCTTTTTAATATCCTGTGTCAACTATCCCAAAACTAATCAAGGAGACAGAACTTATGAGTGAGAGCCAGACATGGTGAAACAAGTCTGAAATCCCAGAGTTCAGAGAACTCAAGGAGGACTAAAAGCTTGAGGCCAGCCTCACAGTGAGTCCGTCTCAAAACACACAATGCTCACATGCATGCACATGCACAAACACTTGCATGAACTATGGCATTTTAGGATTAGAATAGGCTAGGTGTGACATTTAAAAAGAAAATATAAAAATAGATTACTCCTAAAAATATTAGAAACGAAAAATATCTAAATTTCTAACATCTCAATTTAAAGCACTACATAATGGTTAGTTTTAATCAACTTAACACAGTCTTAATGAGAACAGTTTCGATTAGACTGGCCTGAGTTCATACCTATGAGGGATTTTCTTATTTAAGTTAATAGACATGGGAAGATCCACCTTGAATGTGGGTGGCAGCAATTCATGGGCTAGGCCCTAGACTGAATGAAAAGGAGAGCCAGCTGAACGCTGGCAAGTACACAAACATTCACTGCACTCTAGCTTGACTGTGGATGTGACCAGCTGTTTTAAGTTTCTGTAGCCTCAGCTTCTCTTGCTATGATGGGCTACGATCTGGAGTTGTGAGCTAAAACAAACCCTCTAAGTTGTTTTTTTGGACAGGTGATTTTATCATAGCAACAGAAATGAAACTGGAAGATACTGGCAATGTGGACTCACAGAACATAAATAATAATTAGAGACTGCTGGCTCGAAGATTGGATTTGCCACAATTTCCTCTATATTAAAAGCTTGATCTCCACTGTGACACTTTACCACCACCTCCACGATTAAGAATCTTTTCATCTAAGTGTGCGAGTACACACCT